AGCAAGTCATCTAAAATTTCATGTTTTGGGAACCTCCTAAACAAAATATAAAGCTCTTGTTTTCTAACTTATAATATGTACCAAAGCATCATATATATTGATCATATTTTTTTTAGTAAAAACTTAAGTATACCTAGATTGAGAGAACAAAGATTTTATATTTACATACTAAAATATTCAAGATTATATACTAAAGAATATACAAAGATTATCATCATGGTGCTATACAATATTGTGGTTAGTATAATGATTACTGATGAAAGTTTTCTTTTATCAATAAGAAAATGATCATATATTTAAATATAGAATCCACTGGCACCTTTGAAAGAAAAGTACAAATTAACGAGTAATTTTTGTATGTTCCCAATACACCACATAGATGGTGTACCATCCAATACGCATGGAACATGTGGCAATATTGTATAACATACATATAGGACATAAAAATAAAACATGTCCACATATCTACATGTCGTATGTGTAGATGGTACACCAACCACGTAGTATACCCCGAACATTCAAAAATTTCTCCAAACTAAGAGCTAATTGGTCAGATACCACATAATATACTAAACGAATAATACTAGTTTTACCATATTTTTTATACCAAATAATGTGGCAACTGATGTATACATACCACATCATGTAAAATACCAGTTTATGTTTTTCTAATTTTATTTATTAATAACTTCATTCATTTAATTAATGTGACATATGATATGGACATGCCACATCATGTGGTATATAAATATGGGATAAAAATGTGGTAAATGTAGCATTACTCTTAATAAACATCATGAGTAACATCATTTTTTCCAAACAAAACAAAACACAAAAAGAACAAGCTACCCACGTTATAGTCAAGTACATACCTTTGTCTCATACTCAACGCTGGCCTTACTCAAAAACTCAGCCTTAAGCTTCTCCGTCCTAGTCAAGGCATTCATCCTCTCCACCTCCGTCTGCAGCTCTGCATCTCTCAACGCCACCGCCTTCATGGCCTCCACCTCCGCCACATGCGCCTCCTTCCCCCACCCGGCCTTCTTCTTTGCCAGCTCAGCATTCGCCTCAGCCACCTCAGCCTCTCTCACATTCTCATACACCTTCAACTCTGCTTTCACCTTTATATCCGCCATCATCCCCTCCGAGGCCCTCTTCGTGGCATATATTTTTGTTTCTGCATCAATCTTCGCAGCATTCTGTAGCGTCAACCCCTCCCTCTCCTTGGACCCTATCTTTCCTTTCTTCCTCGCCTCCGCCACATCAACTTTAGCCTGATTGGCCGCCTCCATCTGTGTCTTCTGCCCCAAGTAACTAAAATACTCATGTCCAGGAACATCCACCAACTGTTTGACGTTTGCGTTATATATCAAAAGCCCGAACTGATTCAATTCCAACTGAACCTTCTCAAACACCTCTTGCTTAAACTCTTTGGTCCCCCTAAACACCTCCTCCATGGTCATCGAGGCAGAGAGGACACGCGTCTCGCCCTCTATGATGCCCTGGACGAGCTCCTTCACGTGGCTGGAGAGCTTGTCGTGGAGAGAAATGAGCTTGGCGTACTTGTGGAGACTGGGCATGTCGTTGATGCGGGGGCCGATAGTGAAGACGGCGGGGAGCATGAAGGGGAGCTTCTCGATGCTCATGGCTTGGACTTCGAAGGTATAGTTGACGGGGGACATGTCAAAGACGATGTAAGATTGTCCGGGGAGGATCCATCCCTTCTTTGCAAGCTTTATGTCGTCGATCCCGGCCCCGGTAATCACCAGATATTCTGAAGGGCTTGCTACTCTATACATGTTTGCTTCTTGTTTGGTACTTGTTTTTTGATATATTGAAGACCATTTTACATGTATGTATATATATACACACACACACACTGAGAGTGGCATAGTGTCCGCCACGAAACATGATTAATTGTTTGGCCCTTACGTACATGTTATACAAATATGCTTGATATTGTCAATGACAAAAATAACGGTGGAAATTGCATGGTACTTGCCCTTGTTCCTTGTTTTCAACAAATACACGCCAACTTGTGATACTCCCGTTCAATTGTTTTTGGTTATAAAGGGAAATGTTATATATATATATATATATATATATATATATGTGTGTGTGTTTTAATGTATGCCTGAAATGTCAATGGTTCTTATATCACAAGTAAGCCATACAAATCTGGCTGTACCGATCAATCAATCCAATTAGCAAATTTGGCATAGTTTGATGAATTATTTCTTCATTTATATACGGCCAACAATTGGGATTTGATATCGCATGATATGTACGGCCTAGGAAAGCTGGCCGATATAGTTTTGTTTCTCAACCTAAAAATACTTGTAAATTTTTAAGTGCCCCTTTTTATTCTTCCTTCTTCAATATTGCTTTTATACGGAGGAAGCTATAAAATAAAAAATAAAATAAAAAGATTTTTGTGTTTAGATTGCACACTACCCAAAAAAAAAGTGACAACAGTCACCATTATTTGGTGAATAATGCGGGGGTGACTAAAGGTTTTAGTCACCAAATATCACCAAATAATGGTGATTGTTGTCACTTTTTTTTGGTAGTGCCACTTGTAGCTCAAAAACTTCAAATATGTACCTTTCACAAATCACTAGCAACTGCACTTCATTTTCCAGAGCTGCTTGATAACGTACTCAAGAGACTAATGAATAAAAGTAAGAGCTCCTCATTATCACGAATTTACAATCCACATACAGAGATCCTTTTCATATATTAGCAAGACTTCTGGACTTTCATCAGTTTCTTCCAACAAGAAACCACACGGAAATTGCCAGGAGGATGCAAGTAGTAGAAAACGAAAACAACTTAAAATTAAAGAGAATCAAAGAGAAAATACATGTTGGAAAAGAGAGATGAGACTGGTGGAGGATGAGGGAGAAAGAAATGAGTATGAATTAAACCAAAACTAGAAAATGAAAACAACTTTCATTTTGTGTACCATTCCATCCACATTTTCTTCCTCCCTCTCATCACCCTTCCTCCTTCATCACTCCTTTTCTCACATATATTTCCTTTATATATCTCTAACAGAAAATTATAATAAATCAAAAAAACGAAAACATTACTAAATGGACCTCAAGCAGTCATTTTATGACCAATATGGCAAAATATCCGAACTCAATAACCCTGAAATATACAGTTTTGTGGTGCAAAAATTGGCAAGGATTCAATTGTCATAGATACTATTAACACTTGGAGGACAAAGGCCACAAGGTAGGTAATATAAAAAGACCATATATAGGAAACATGTTGAGGCCACTTTCTTTTATTGGCATCATGGCACGAGCGTAGCTGGTACAATTTTGGCTGCACTACAATGGGAATTCAAATTTGGCTATACATACCCACACAATTGCAACATTATGAATACAAAATGATACATGCTTACGCAATCCGTATCACATCTCAATTGACCACATTGTGTGCCAACTTTTTAATAGAAATGGAGATGTACCCCGCACTTACAGAAGTTTCACAGGTACTAAAGACATGATACACAAAATGACTTAGTTTAGATAGTGGTACGCTCGAACTCAACTTGAGTAGAACCAGACTTTGGCAAAGTGCCCATCCAAGTCGGAGGCAGCATTCCGGTTTTTCATGAGCTGTCATGAACAATGGTGGTAACATCTTGTAAACTCCAGCCACCTCCTTCATAGCCCCATTGCTGCCGCCATCGCCTTCATCTCCCCCTCCATTAGTCCAAATACTGATCTTGGGCTGAAGTTCACGGACGGCCTCGGCATTAATTTTAGCAAGTTCTTGAAACATGACACTGTTGATCATCTCATGAAGTCCCTCATGGCAGCATAGTTGCGTCCAATCCCAAAGATTGCGTAGATATGCACCTTGGGCTTGTCCAATGAGACCCTCAGCCTCTTTTTTTCTTTGCATAAAATTCTCCATCTGCAACTTTTTGACGAGCATAGAAATTTGGCTCTTTCGATCAATCCCAATTAGCAAATTTGGCATATAGTTTGCGATGAAAGATTTCATTTATATATATGGCCAACTTTTGGGATATGTGATATCGGCCCAGGAACGCTGGCCAACGGTTTCGTCTTCCAACTCAAACTACCTTTTTTTTTTTTTGGTCAACTAACTACTTGTAAATTTTTAAGTGAAGAAAATATAGACATGAAGCTCAGAGGACAGATTGTACCATCATGTCTTTATTGGTAAAGTAGTCTCACTCCCGTGTAATCAAAACATGATTTGTACATTACATAAAGGGCTTAAGACGATTTATCCTTGCACTCAAGATTATTGTGTTCTATTTCTTGTATACAAAAAGTAGAAGGAAAAAAAACCCTAGCAAAAGCTTAGATTTTTCATTTCCCAATATTTCTTGTATGCAAGACTATCAACAACAACAAAAAAAAAAAAAAAAAAAAAAAGCTACGAAACTCACTAGCAAAAGCAATTCATTTTCCGGAGCTGCAGGATAAAAGATATAGCTCCTGATGACGACGACTTCACTGTCCAAATAGGGATCATTTTCATATTAGCAAGACTTGTAGACTTTAATCAGTTTCATATAAAATATTTACTATAAATCCCGCTCACACAGTTTTTAAGGCACGAACATGGGCAAGAATTCAATTTCCATTGATACTATTAGGACTTGGAGGACAAAGGAAACATGTTGAGGTCACTTTCTCATATTGGCATGACTCCATTGGATTCCACATTATGCAAATCCTCAAATGTGAAGAGCAGCATGAGACGAGCCTAGCTGGTACAATTTTGGTTGTACTACAATGGCAATTCAAATTTGGCTAATGTATACCCATATGAAAGCAACATCAATTAATTATATGAATACAATATTATACGCGGTACCATTTCAACTGACCACATTGTGTGTCATCTCTTTGATAGAATGATATCGTCCACACTTACTTTTAGTCTCACATGTACTAAAAGACATAATATACACAAAATGGCTAGTTCAGATAGTGACACTCTCGAATTCAATTGTTAGAACCAGAATTTGGCAAAGTGCCCATCCAAGCCGGTGGCAGCATTCCAGTTTGTTCATGAACTGTCTTGAACAATGGTGGCAACATCTTGTAAACTCCAGCAACCTCCTTCATGGCCCCGTTGCTGCCACCATCGCCACCCTCTACGGCCCCATTAGTCCAAATGCTGATCTTGGGTTGAAGTCCACGCACAGCTTCGGCATTAATTTTAGCAATTTCTTGAAACATGCCGCTGTTGATCATCATGAAGTCCCTCATGGCTGCATAGTTGCCTCCAACTGCGTCCAGAAGATTGCGTAGATATGCACCTTGGGCTTGTCCAAGGGCTATGAGACCCTCAGCCTCTTTTTTCTTTGCATAAAATTCTCCATCTGCAACTTGTTGACGAGCATAGAACTCTGCTTCTGCAATTGCCTTCTGTGCCTCAGCCTCTCTCTCTCTTTGGTAAAGAATTGCTTCGGCGGCCTTTTGCTTGTTGTATAAGTCCCAATTTGCCTCTTGTACCTTTGTTTATGAACAATAATCCATTAACCAAAAATAGCTTTTGATCACACTTCTATATGCATGTGATTATGAATCACATTGATTATAATTTTCTTGTATCAATAAAGAAATGACATTTGAACTCGAAATCTCTTCTTCCAATATTAAAAAGAAAAATATATATCAACTAAGAGTTAGCCCGTCACATTCACAACTTAATATAAGCATTCAATATTTTCATTCCCTTATTATGTACGAACATCATATATGATTAGTAAACATCATCAGAATATTTTACCATCTTAATTTGTATTATGAGTGTATTCAATATTCTTTTTTTTTTTTCCAAAAAAAGAATAAAGCAAAACAAGGTACATACCTTTGTTTCATACTCAACGCTGGCCTGACTCAAAAATTCAGCCTTAAGCTTCTCCGTCCTGGTCAAGGCATTCATCCTTTCCACCTGCGTCTGCAGCTCCGCATCCCTCAATGCCACCGCCTTCGCGGCCTCGACCTCCGCCACCTGCGCCTCCTTCGCCCACCCGGCCTTCTTCTTCGCCAGCTCAGCATTCGCCTCTGCCACCTCAGCCTCCCTCACATTCTCATACACCTTCACCTCTGCTTTCACTTTTATCTCGGCCATCTTTCCCTCCCCTTCCCTCTTCGTCGCATAGATCTTCGTCTCAGCGTCAATCTTCGCCGCGTTCTGCAGCGTCAACCCCTCCCTCTCCTTGGACCCTATCTCCCCTTTCTTCCTCGCCTCAGCCACGTCAACTTTAGCCTGATTGGCCGCCTCCATCTGTGTCTTCTGCCCCAAGTAACTAAAATACTCATGTCCAGGAACATCCACCAACTGTTTGACATTTGCGTTATATATCAAAAGCCCGAACTGATTCAATTCCAACTGAACCTTCTCAAACACCTCTTGCTTAAACTCCTTTGTCCCCTTAAACACCTCCTCCATGGTCATTGAGGCAGCGAGGACACGCGTCTCTCCCTCAATGATGCCCTGGACGAGCTCTTTCACGTGGCTGGAGAGCTTGTCGTGACGCGAAATGAGCTTCGCATACTTGTGGAGGCTGGGGGTGTCGTCGATGCGGGGGCCAATGGTGAAGACCGCAGGGAGCATGAAGGGGAGCTTCTCGGAGCTCATGGCTTGGACTTCGAAAGTGTAGTTGACTGGGGACATGTCGAATATGATGTAGGACTGGCCCGGGAGGATCCATGCCTTCTTCGCAAGCTTTATGTCGTCTATCCCGATCCCAGTAATCACTAAATACTCCGAAGGGCTTGCTACTCTATACATGGTGATGGCTGTTCTTTTTTACTTGGTTCTTCCTGCTAATTTAAGGTCAGGCTTTTAGGATACTTATTTATACATAAACAAGGAGGAGCCAATACACAAGGAAGGATTGATTAATTATAATGCTACTCTTATCATATTTTTATATCACATTCCCATACCACCTTAAGTGGCAGATGAAGTGGACAATCACATCAATTTAAAATTAATTTAGCATTACTCTTATTGTAAAGTCCTAGTCTATAGACTTCTAGACATATGAGGGGGCATGGTAAAGAACAACAAAATTCATAATAATTTATACTCTAGATACACATCAACTGCCGCATTATGTCATTAGCTAATATCTTTTTAGCGATTTCAAGTTTCCTTTGAATTGTTCATAATAAATCTTTTTTTGTTTAAATATAGTTGTTTGTAGTAGACTAACTGTTTGTCATTTGAGTACATGTTATGTGAATCTCCTGATATTGTCAATGAAAAACATAGATTGATTGTGAGGAAATTGCATACGACTTGTTGCAGGCTTCCAGCTTTCAAGGGGAATTCTAATCCTGTTTTTTAATGTACTGGAAATTGTCAGCGAAATTTAAAAAATATGCATTGATTGTTGTCCTGTCTAACAGCCGAAATTGCACGGTATTTGTTTTTTTACAAATTTATAAAAAAACCCAATCCTAGACATGTATTTATAAAAAAACCCAAGCACTATTTAAACATAGAAACACACCCAAAATCAACTCCAAAGTCAACTTTTTGGGTGTGTTTATAAATGGGTTTTGAGTGTGTGTAATGATTGGTTTTGGGTGTGTTTATAAGTGTTTTGGGTGTTGGGTTTTTTTATAATTTCAACCTCCATTTTGGGTGTTTTAGTGAAACTCCCTTGTTTTTTTTCCTTTTCTGTTATTGGGTCGAAACCGTCAACGACGAACGGTTCGTCGATTGCAATCGAAACTTGATGTCGTTGTACAGGAAGCCATAAGCGATCCAGTTGTCTAATATGAATCAATTAGCAAACTGGCATGGCCTGTTCACGTCGAGCCAACAATTGGGATTTGATAGTGGTAAGAATTCATGTATACGGCTGTGGAAAGCTGGTACATTCTTTTGGAGAGGTTCCCTCAACTCATCTAGACATGTAAATTAGAACAAATATGAAGGACAAGTCTGCAGACCTAAAACAGGACAGGCAATTTCGCTGAGTTTGATACTTAAGCTCTAGTATAACTCCTCAGAAGACTAATGAAGGGGTCTTGATCACGATGAATTTATTATCTAAATTGCCGTGTGGTGCAGGGATCAAATAGAAAAAGCTTAACAAGACTTTGACAACGGAAAACGCAGACGTAAATATGTACCAACTGTGATATTTTCCTTACCGTTGGTTGAAATGCACGAAACCACTCCTATAGATACGACTAGGACTTGAAGGACACGAGGCACAATGGACATGACGTGGGAAACATGAGATTATGGAACTAATTTGTGTCCATTCTCGGTGTACTTACGGCAAAACTTCAAGCACATATACTTTTAAATGTGGTGCAGGGATCAATCAAATCAGACCCAATGACAGGGGCACGTTAAAAACAAAATCTTGAAATTATTTTATATTTTCAATAGTTTAAAAATGCATGAATATGATGATTCAAAGAGAATGATTTTTTTTTTTCTAGCCACATATGCTTTTAAATGTGGTAACGTGCCCCTGCATGTATGTCTCTTTTTTTGTTGTTGGTGCTACTCAGTCCAAACAAGTTGGGACTGTGCTGTAGTGGCAAGTGTGTTTCAACTTTCTAGAACTCAAATATTTTAACTTGGTGCACATAAAACTGAAAGACGAATTAAAAATTGGGCAGGTTTTTCATTTTGTTATTTTTGTATTGAACTAAATCATAAATCACACCATTGCAAGTGAGATTTTCCCGTTTTAATTCAATTTCATTCAATAAGATTGGTTGGTTTTGAGGTCTGATCCCAAGCTAAGCTTTTGTCGGTGACCAGTCATCATCCACATCAACAAGATTATCTGAATCCAATGTAATAGTGGCATAATACGATAATCTGGTTATATTCCAAATCCGTTAACTCGTTAAGTTAACGAAACAAATTTGAATTTCCCCTAATCCGATCTGATTTATGTAACATTTATTTTATTATATTTTTACTTACTAAATACATTTTGCACTTCTCATTGATAGAAATAATTTACTTTTAAGCCCAATTAATAACCCCACATCTCTCCCACTCTAAACTAATCCCTACCACGTCAGACCCAGACTCAAAAGAAGAAAAAAAAACTGCCACTCCTCGTCACTCATTTCAGCTGCCTTCTCCTTTCTTTTTGGTCAAAATTTCAACTTTTTTGTTTTCTTCTCTTAGTTCTCTCTCACGTCACTCAACTACAGAATCCATCCCCACCCCACCCAACCCAACCCGTAATATATCAATGCTAGAGTGTACTCTCGCCTGCTTCTTTGTTCCTTTTTTTTTTTTTCAGAGATTGATCAGATATCCAATTTCCAACGTATCGGATGTGGATTTGCTTGTGAAGGATCATATATAAGCTGGTCCACTCCATCTCCGACCCATTCAAAGCTCTACCTACACCAAGCCTATTGGAAACATGTTGAAGTCACTTTCTCTGACTGACATGACCACATTAGACAACAAACACCCATATACCATATATCTTCAAGATTACTAAACGATCTAAAACTATGTCCACAACATAAACCACTTGGACATTCTGAAACATTGTGAATAGAAAATGACATTATGGATATCAAACTCCAAGATAATGGTTCAACAGAAGAAAAACTTTAAAATTCACCGTACATGGATTAAATATTTAAGGATCAAAATAAAATGGCAAAAAACAGTTCATCTGTCAACAGTAGCTCAATCTAAATGCACTTCTTGCACAAACGTAACACTACGAATACTGCCCAAAACAAGAAGCTCATATTCCAGTGAATGCCTTCTTTCCAGCTCCAGAAGAACCAGCCGGAGTCACCTTCAACACATTAAACCTCACTGTCTTTGACAATGGCCTGCAAAATTTAACAAACATAAGTACAGATTAAAGAAAAGAACACCCTTTGACTAATACATGAGCAAAGAACGAAATATACAAAAACCAATCAGCAACAGTTGCGACAGATTTAACAAGCAACATGTTTAGGATCTGACCTGCATTGGCCAATGATGACATAATCTCCCTCCTTCACACGGAAGCATGGTGAAACGTGCGCAGGAATTGTGGA